CCTGCCTCAGCCTCCCAAGTAGCTGGGACCACAGGTGCCCACCACAACGCTTGGCTATTTTTTGGTTGCAGCCATCATTGTTGTTTGGCGGGCCGGGCTGGATTCGAACCCGCCACCTTAAGTGTATCTGGCTGGCGCCTTAGGCACTTGAGCCACAGGCGTCGAGCTGACAAACATTCTTAAGAAAGGAAACTAGCACGGATCCTTTTGTAGCTCATAAGTATGATGACTGGGTGCCCTCAAGCTGATGTGAGATGTACCCCTGCCAGACCTTGTTACCCAGCTGAAGTGGAAAAAAGAAAGAAACCAGGGAAGACTTGTTTAAGGTAGAAGCTCACTGAAGAACAACATAAAGGACTGGTAGGAGCCACCACCCCCTGCCATCCCCAGTCACCTCGGTAGTGCCAGTGTCCAGGGCTGGGGCCAGATCGTGGTGACTAAATTCACCATTATCTTTCTTTCGAATATTCTCAACTACAGTCTTTGTTATTGTTGCAACATCCAAATCTAAAGAATTTTTTTAAGAGACAAAAAACAAAGATTAATCATTTACATTCTCTAAATAGTCACAATAATTTGATAAATTTGGAATAGTAATTCTTTAAAAGTGTGTAAAATCAGAAGTGCATTAATGTGCATTAATGTACATAGTTACCATTCAATTAAAAAAAATATTATATAATAAGTACTGAAAAAAAGTGTGTAAAATATGAAAGACATTACAAAAGAAAATGCTAATAATTTAAGGATATTTTATATGAGTTACAATCTAAGTTATTTTATTCCTAAAACAGAACTTCAGCAAAAATCCTACTCCTTTTTTTCCCTCTCATGTGAAATAAGATTGAAAATTAGAGCCCAAATTCCCAAATTACAATGTGAAACTTGTCAATCCTTTTTACCTGCTTCTTTAGCCAGTTCCAAGCAGTGGTGGCGCTCTTCAAATTCTGTAATGCCTTCCAGAAACAAGGCATACTGGGCGACGGCCAGGTCTTGAGGCAAATGACAGGTATAAAACGCTATGAGATTTGTGTGCTTCTCACTTATCAAAAGCTAAAACACAGAAAAAGATCAAAGCATGTCAATAATAAAATGAAAAGTTTGCTTCAGAATTTCAAACATATTTAGGAGAGGTTCACACAGATAAGGATTTGAGCTCTCAGTCAGAATAATTTTAAGTTCTAGAAAGTATAGTCAACCCTTGAACAGCACAGGTTTGAACTATGTGAGTCCATTCATATGTGGACTTACTAAATACTACACTGGAAAAGGTTTCTGAAATTTGTAACAATTTGAAAAAACTTGGAGACCAACCACACACATAGCCTAGAAATGGCGAATAAATTAAGAAAAAGTTAGGTATGTCATAAATGCCTAAAATAAATTTAGATACTAATCTATTTTATCAATTATATCATAAAATATACACAAATCTCTTATATATATATATATATATATATTTTTTTTTTTTTTTTTTCTTCTTCTTGAGACAGAGTCTCACTTTGTCACCCTGGAGAGAGTGCCGTGGCACCATAGCTCACAGCAACTTCAAACTCTTGGGCTAAAATTATCCTCTTGCCTCAGCCTCCCAAGTAGCTGGGATTACAGGTGCCCACCACAAATTCCCAGCTAGTTATTTAGAGATGGGATCTTGCTCTTGCTGGTCTCAAACTCCTGAGCTCAAGTGATCCACCCACCTCAGTCTCCCACGGTGCTGGGATTACAGGTACAAGCCACTGTGCTGGGCCCATAAATCTCTTACAAAAAGCTAAGATGTACCAAAACATATGCAGACATACATGATACAGTGCCATCTGCAGTTTAAAGAAACGTATACAAATGATATAAAGATACAGTATTAAATAAATGAATAAAACGAACTATAGTGTAATTTGTTCTACTTTAAACATTTCACAGCCGCCTCCTATTGCTATCAGAGTGACCGCCAATGTTGCCAGGTATCTCAGCTTCACCCCTGTAATACCAGCACTCTGGGAGGCTAAGTTGGGAGGATTCCTAGAGGCTAGGAGTTTGAGATCATCCTGAGAAAGACCCTGTCTCAATGAAAAATAGAAAAATTAACCAGGTATAGTGGCACATGTGTGTAGTCCCAGCTACTTGGAAGGCTGAGGCAAGAGGATCACTCGAGCCTGGGATTTCAAGGTTGTACTGAGCTATGACAATGCTACTGCACTCTGGCTCAGTCAACAAAGCAAGAGTCTCAAAAAAAACAAAAAAAACAGTCATGTGGTATTAAATCATCTCCAAGTGAGCAGTAAAAAGGGATCCATGTCAAGTTTTGCATATTTTTTACTGCATTTAGTAGGACACCATCACACAAAGGACACACACCAAGTGCCACTAGTAATGCTGGGGGTGTCTCCAGCAGCAGAGAAAAGTCGGGACATCACAAGAAGCTGGAGTCCTTGAGACATAACCCAGATTGAGGTCTGCGACTGTAGTTACTTGGCATTTCAGATAATTCACCTTATAAACAGATGACACAGGTTTACAGTACCAATTAATACAGTACAAGATTGTAAATGTATCTTTTCCTCCTTAGGATTTTCTTAACATTTTCTTTTCTCTAGCTTACTTTACAGTAAAAATTCAGCTGACTCTTGAACAACAGAGGTTTAAACTGCCTGATCCATTTCTACACATACGGCAGATTTTTTTCAACCAAATTCATATTGAAAATATAGTATTTGCTAAATCCTCATGTATGAAAGGCCAATTTTTCATATACACACAGGTTCTGCAGGGCCGACTACAGGACTGGCCTATACACAGATTTTTGGCATCCACGAGAGTCCTGAAACCAACCCAGGAGTACAAATCTGCCATATGAGTAGAAGTGGATCAGGCAGCTCAAAACTGTTGTTCAAGAGTCAACTGAATTTTTACTGTAAAGTAAGCTAGAGAAAAGAAAATGTTAAGAAAGTCATAAGGAAGAAAAGATACATTTACAATCCTGTACTGTATTAATCGGTACTGTAAACCTGTGTCACTGAGGGACAACCGCGTATGATACATGTAAGATATGAGTGAGGGCTCCAGTGAACAGCAGCTGTTAGGAGTTATGTTTTCAGGAAGTCAAATTGGTGAGTTTTTAATTATATGGGGGACTGGTACTCTAATCCCTCATTGTTCAAGGGTCTGACAACTTTCTTACCATAGAGAATTAAAATAGTCTCATTCTGACTTGTTTTCATTAAAATGGTAAAAAGAATCAAGTTGTAGATTTTCAAAGTTTACCTGTATGTATGTCTTTAAAACTTCGATAGAAACTTCTTCCTTCATAGGAAAAAAAGACATAATTATAAATACACAACTAATTATATGAACAAGCAATAAAATTTCTAATAAAAATTCTGCCATTAAATGATTTAATAAGTCTCATATTTACCTTTGATCAGTAACTATACACCAGGCTAAGTGCTTAGCAAAGTTTACCTATTGCCTGATTTAACCATTAACTCTTGGTGGGTAATTACTATTATTATTCACATTTCACAGAAGAAGAAACTAAGAACCAAAGAATCACAGCTAGAAGCAGCTCCTAGTCCAAAGCCCAGATTTCAATTACTTTATCATTTACCTTCCATATGTGGTCTGACCAAAATGGTTTCAAGTATTTAGAAACAAACAAACAAAAAAAACAACAAAGATTTAAAAGACATAGAATTTCGTCAGTTAAGCTCAGATGGCTAATTTAAAGTTAGGTGCTGATGAGAATAAAGTTATAAATCTATTAAAAACCAGGTAGCCAACATCATTCTGTGGTTACAGACTAAAACCCCAAGGGTCACCCACAGTGAATTACCAATAGTGACCACCCAGGACTATATGAAAGACTTTTGCACACTTTTTCCCATTTCTAGAAAGCAACCATAAAAAAGCAGTGTTTTCCTGATGATAGCATTAACCTTTTGGAGAAGGGTAAATTGTTTATTTTTATTTACTTTGGTCTGTAGTCCCAGAGTGCGGAAAAACAAAATGAGGTGAGCCATAAACCGAAGGAGGTGCCCAGGTGGACTGTTTCTGCTTTTGGAAAGCCATTTGCTAAACTCATCCATCAAACCTGCGAACCATCAAAGCAAAGACTCAACAAGAGGAATAAAATCAACAGAAGAGAAATACAAGTTAGGAAGAATGCTCCTCCATCCCCACAGCGCGGTCACCTCACCATCCCACTGAGAACTCCATCCCCACAGCGCGGTCACCTCACCATCCCACTGAGAACTCCATCCCCACAGTGCGGTCACCTCACCATCCCACTGAGAACTCCATCCCCACAGCGCAGTTACATCACCATCTCACTGAGAACGGCTATCATATAACTCTCTACAGTGTTCACCCTCTTCAACAGAATCTGGGTGAAATTCAAACTTTTTTTTTGAGACAGAGTCTCACTATGTCACTCTCAGTACAGTGCTGTGGAGTCATAGCTCACAGCAACCTCAAACCCTTGGGCTTACGCGATTCTCTTGCCTCAGCTTCCTGAGTAGCTGGAATTACAGGTGCCTGCCACAACAGCAGGTTATTTTTTTTGTTGCAGTTGTCATTGTTGCTCAGCTGGCCTGGGCTGGGTTCGAACCCGCCAACCTCGCGGTGCATGTGGCTGGTGCCATAACCACTGTGCTATATGGGCACCAAGCCAAATTCAAACTTTTTTTTTTTTTTTGAGACGGAGCCTCAAGCTATCCCCCTGGGTACAGTGCCATGGCATCACGCTCACAGCAACCTCCAACTCCTGGGCTCAAGCGAGTCTCCTGCTTCAGCCTCCCAAGTAGCTGGGACTACAGGCGCCCGCCACAGCGCCTGGCCATTTTTTGGTTGCAGCCATCATTGTTGTTTGGCGGGCCCGGGCTGGGGATTCGAACCCGCCACCTTAGGTGTATGTGGCTGGCGCCTTAGCCGCTTGAGCCACAGGAGCCGAGCCCAAATTCAAACTTTTTAAAAGCAATTAATAATTGCATTTCAGGCTCGGCGCCTGTGGCTCAAGCAGCTAAGGCGCCAGCCACATACACCTGAACTGGCAGGGTTGAATCCAGCCCGGGCCCGCCAAACAACAACGACGGCTGCAACCTGCAACCAAAAAATTGCCAGGTGTTGTGGTGGGCGCCTGTGGTCCCAGCTACTTGGGAGGCAGAGGCAGGAGACTTGCTTGAGCCCAGAAGTTGGAGGTTGCTGTGAGCTGTGATGCCATGGCACTCTGCACAGGGCAACAGCTTGAAGCTCTGTCTAAAAATAATAATAATAATAATAATTCTATTTCAATAGGTACATATTTTTAAGATCAAAAGATTTAGTGAGTCATATGCACTGTTTTGATAACTTTTACCATAAGAAAATGAAGAACTCATACAAAGCAAAATTAAATTTTATCTTACCATCAATGTCTCCCAGGATAAGGAACTTTTGAACTATGTGATAATGTTCTTGATTCTCTTCCAGAACTCTCTGAAAAAGATTTTTCCATAAATCTTCTAGTGGTGGTTCTATAGCATTTACCATTGGTAAACTAAAAAAAATTAAACTTTTGAAGGAACATACAGTATAAAGTTGAAAATGGAGAGCCTTAGGAAGGTCAAAACAAAATAAGAGAAGGTGGGTGGCACCTGTGGCTCAAAGGAGTAGGGTGCCGGCCCTATATACTGGAGGTGGTGGGTTCAAACCTAGCCCTAGCTGCAAAAAAAAAAAGAGAACGATATCGCCTTTGAAATATATTCAAGGCTTACAAATCTAGAATGGAACAATACCTTTGAAAACACAGAACTAGGGGCAGTGCCTGTGGCTCAAAGGAGTAGGGCACCGGCCCCATATGCTGGAGGTGGTGGGTTCAAATCCAGTCCCAGCCCGCCCCACCCCCAAAAAGAGAAAACATAGAACTACAGCCAGATGTAGCAAGTCATGCCTGTAATCCCAGCACTCTGGGAGGCTGAGGTGGGTGAACTGCTTCAGTTCACAAGTTCAAGACCAGCCTGAGCAAGAGCAAGACCCTAACCCTGTCTCTACTAAAAAAACATTAAAAAACTGAGGCAAGAGGATTGCTTGAGCCTAACAATATGAGGTTGCTGTAAGCTGTGATGACGCCACGGTACTCTACCGAGGGCAAAAGCTTGAGACTGTCTCAAAAACAAACAAACAAACAAACAAAAAATAGAGAAGTATTATAACAATTTGATTTCTGTGTACGTTATTAAACTTTTATTCTTATTTATTTATTTTTAGAGATAAAGTCTCACTTTCTCACCCACAGCAACCTCAAACTCTTGGGCTTAAGTGATTCTCTTGCCTCAGCCTCGCAAGTTGTTGGGACTTCAGGCACCTGCCACAACGCCCGGCTATTTTTTGTTGTTGTTTAGCAGGCCCCGGATGGATCCGAAACTGCCTGCCTCGGTATATGTGGCCAGCGCCCTAATCACTGTGCCACGGGTGCTGAGCCTAAACTTTCATTCTCATATTTTATTCCTATTCATCTTGGCACTCTATGGTGGACCAAAAAGGAAGGGCCATGTGACTTAAGAAAAATAAATATATCTTTCAACAGTACTTGAAAACATTCTTGGGGTATTCTCTTCTGCAAATGGCACCAAAATAACAAAATAGTGACCAGGTACAGAGTAGAAAAAACCATTTTTAAGCAACCTACAGCTTGATTTTTTGATTCAAATAGAGATTTTTTTGGTTATCAAATCTATTTTAATTTTATTTAGATAGTCATCCAAATCTCCTTTTACTATATATATATACTGTTTTTACATCCAGACCTTTGGTCTACGTAGAATTTATTTTAATTGCATTATATGTGGTAGAATCTATCTTTTTTCCCCTTCCAGATGGAAAGCCAATTATGCCAGATCCAATTATTTAAACAAGCCACCTCTTCCTTCTGAAAAGAAAGGTCTCCTCTGACATCTGGTAAGTTCTTATACAGAGAGTGCCCCAAAAATGTATACACATTGTAAGAAAGGAAAAAACCGCATCAAAATTCTAATACTCAATATATACCGTTAACAAAGGATAAATTCAAGTCACATTTGAACACCTCTTTCCCAAATGCTCTTGCCATTTTCACTTATTCTTCTACTTGGAAATCTTCTGTCCAGAAATAATATCCAAAAGCATTAGTTTTCTATATTAATTTGGAATGAGTGATATTTTCATTAATTCCACTCATCCAGGAACATGATTCAAGTCTTGTTTTATGTCTCTCAATAAGATTTCAGTTTGTTTTTTTTGCAGTTTTTGGCCAGGGCTGGGTTTGAACCCACCACCTCTGGTATATGGGGCTAGCACCCTACTCTTTGGGCCACAGGTGCTGCCCATGATTCTATAGTTTTTAAATGAAGGTGCTGAAACCCTTAGTCTTATTCCTAGATCTCTTCAGTTCCAGTCATTCATTTACGTGGGGATTAGGGAGAGGCAGGGCTGTATCTTTTTCTGTAATATAAGTACAGAGAAACTGTGATTTTTTTTTTAGGCTTTGCCTTATGTTTAGGTACTTTAACAAATTCTCTTATTAATTCTAGTAACTTACTGAGCCTTAAATTCCTAGACTTATACTCCGTCATATGTAAATTTCCCCCCTTTTCTAGTATTTATGTCTATTCCTTGATTTGCTTGTTCTAGTTTATTAGCTAAAATTTCCAATATAATAGCCTAGTAATAAACACTTTATAGAAAAAGCACTAATTTCCTTACTATACAAACGGCTCCCATAATAATAAGGAAAAACTAAAACCCAACAGAAAAAAAAGCTGAAAGTAATTAATTTTCCATTTCAAAATGTTTTTTAATTTTTATTGTATACAGTTTTAAAGGTGTACAACACGATGTTTTCAGATAATTTAGTCACTGTAGATACATATGCACAGGTATAGAGCACATACTCTTTCACTCAGCAACCCTGTTCTCAGGAAACGTGTCCTAAAGAAATAGGACAATGAGCACACAGGTACCACAGACACACACACGTAAACCTAGGTTCATTACCACTAGAAATAACCTAAAATATCACCCAAAAAACATGATTTGAAAAAATTATACATCTTTCTACAGAACATTATGTATTTATTAAAAAGTGTATGTTAGGGGCAGCGCCTGTGGCTCAAAAGAGTAGGCCGCCATCCCCATATACCGGAGGTGGTGGGTTCAAACCCAGCCCCAGCAAAAAAAAAAAAAAAAAAAAGCATATATTAAGTTAAGCTAAAATTATCAACTAATTTGGAGAGAGAGTCATTAAGAGAAAAAAAGTCACGTTATGGAATACTGTATGTAGTACATACAGATGTGAAAAACAACAAAACCAAAATTATACGTTGGAATACCTACATTATTTAGATATTTGTAAGATTGTGGAAAAAGACAGGAAAGAATACAAATCAGTTCATTATCATTTCAGGGGAACAAGAATAATCATAAAGGGGTTGGGAGGAAGTTATTATAAAAGTCTTATTTATATACTTTTAGATTATTTTATTGTTATAAGTACATAAAATATTATGTTAGTTATTTAAAATTTGTAAAAGAATGATTTAAAAAAATTAGATTATTTTGAGATTTAGGAAAAGAAATTCTCATTAATTTTCCAGTATATACTTTAAATTTTCAAAAGGAAAGATAAATGTAGCTTACAGACACATACTCAGACGAAACCAATCCTAAGCCAAAGAAACAGAAATGATATGTCATTTACATAATTAAGCCTCTTCCTTCCAAAGAATGTTTCTTACTTGGATGAGAAAAAGAAGAGAGAAAAGAACCAAAGTCACATATTTTTTCCCTTTCAGCCACAATGTACAGAGCATAACTTTGCTTCCCATTCCAGATATATAACATGTTCATACGAACATTTACCTTTTTATCAGTAGCTTGAAGTTCTTCAAAAACTTTTTCTAAGGACCAACTTCAAAAGAAAACAGGAAAAGGATAGAATAATATTAATACTGTGAGAAAAGGCCATAAAATAAAACATCAAAAGGAGGACACGTCAAGTCACCATGGCTAAAAACAAAACACTCACTTGGATTCCAAATATTCTCGGGGAAGTTCTTCAGTTTCATCCAGAGTCATGACCGACGTCTGGACCTCCTGCTCCACCAGGCTGTCCACCATCACCCGGAAGTAGGCCCACACCGTGTCCTCCCAGGTGTCGCAGACAGGAAGCAGCTTTTTCCACATTCCAAAACAGAAACACAGAGACATAGCCAGTAATAAAGAAAGGAAAAGCAATTACATCCATCAATGTGACAGATGTATAAAGTCATTTTATGATATAAAATATTGTGGACTTAAAAAAATGAGATCAAATAACCTTCTTTCCTCTAAACTACATCTTCTAATTTGTTTGAACTACTAAGATTTTTTTTTTCCATATCACGTTCATAATAGTGACCATTTTCCATGCTGATATAAGAAGGTATTTCAACTGATTATTACAGCATCCCTCAAAACAGTTATAAAATCTGGGTGGCACTTGTGGCTCAAAGGAGTAGGGCACCGGCCCCATATACCAGAGGTGGGTTCAAACCCAGCCCCCGCCAAAAACTGCCAAAAAAAAAAATGTAGGGAGTAGTGGTGAATGGTGAGAACAGCCTTTAAAATAAGACAACTATTCTGTCCATCTGAAACTGCACACGAACTGTATGGACACCCTATAGGAGACAAGACAAGCAGTCAGTGCTCAGCGGTGCATTTCTGGATATGGTTATGTGCATTCCCTGTCATCGATAAATGTATGTTGCAATTACATTTACAATTCTTAATTATAAAGTGAAGTCTGATTTCATTAAAATGCGTATGAATGGGATACATCAAATTAAGCAGCACAGATTACTATTCTGTTTCACAATTATCTCTATCATTGCTACTCTAGCTTAATTATGTTTTGTTACATGCAATTATTAGACTATTTTCTTTATTTTAAATTAAAAAGTAGCCATTTTTATCTAAACTCTTTTTCTGCCTTTTTCTTAGCCAAGTATATTTCTCAGGCAAGAATATTTTATGTATCTAATTTTATACCATAGGAAAAAAGTGAGGATTAAGATAGATTACATACCTGTTTGAGATTCCCACTTAAAGCTGCATAAATTGCTCTCTCATATCTGTTGAAAAGCTCCTAAAATACAATATAAACAAACTTGAAATATTTTTTTCTTAGTATATCAATTTTCCTCATAATCTGAAATTTTGTAATCTTTTTTATTCACATGTTTCTAAACTTTTGTGAAAGATCTAGTGGGGTAATAAGAGGAAAGGACTTCAGTTTGATGAATAATCAGTGCTAAAATTCTCAGGAAAAAGTCAGACACTTCAATTTCAAATACAGGGTGAAAACGGATCAACTCTAATGAATATTTTGATTATTTATAATAAAATTTTATTATAGATAGAACCTATAGAGGTGTTTTGTCCTAGAAAGTTTATTAATACCTAACATTCCCTGATACTGACCTAAGAACAGCATCAAGATTGTTATCTCATTCCTATGATTAGAATTATGTTCATCAAATTACTCCATTTTATTTTTTTTTAATTTTTTTGTAGAGACAGAGTCTCACTTTATCACCCTCGGTAGAGTGGGGTCATATAGCTTACAGGGACCTCCAACTCCTGGGCTTAGGTGATTCTCTTGCCTTAGCCTCTCTAGTATCTGGGACTACATGAGCCCGCCACAACGCCCGGCTATTTTTTTGTTGCAGCACGGCCAGTGCTGGGTTTGAACCCGCCACCCTAGGTATATGGGGCCGGCGCCCTGCCCACTGAGCCACAGGTACTGCCCAAATTACTCCATTTTACTTCTAGAATTCTATCAATGGCATTTCCAGTTTCCTTGTCATCCAAACGGAGACTCAGATGTTAAGGAGCCCCTGTCTGTGCTGTTCCAACCTCAGGCCCTTACCAATCCTGCCTCCTCCCCAACCCATTCTAGTCCCCAGGCTCATCTATCATCCCAAACAGGCCCTTATTACTTAGCATCTAAGTAATTCTGACAGGCTTCTAAATTACTTTCTCAGTCATCAGTCTATTCAGTTCGGAGTATACTTGCCATGGCCATGCCACACACCCTCAAGATTATGCAATCCTCTGGACACCCAATTCTACAAACTTCAGGACCTTTTCAAGGTAGAGTCTCATATTTATTTCAGTATTTATGTATTTCTTAACTGTCCGACAGTTATAAAACTGTGCTCTTGGATGGCGCCTGTGGCTCAGTGGTGCTGGCCCCATATACTGAGGGTGGTGGGTTCAAATCCGGCCCCGGCCAAACTGCAACAAAAAAATAGCTGGGAGTTGTGGCGGCATCTGTAGTCCCAGCTACTCTGGAGGCTGAGGCAAGAGAATCACCTAAGCCCAGGAGTTGGAGGTTGCTGTGAGCTGTGATGCTACATCACTCTACCCAGGGCAATAAAGTGAGACTGTCTCTACAAAACAAACAAAAAAACTGTGCTATCATTTTTACTAACTTTTTATCTTTTTATGTACCACTGATGAAATTTTCTTTTCTTTTTTGGAGACAGACCTCACTGTGTCATTCAGGCTGGAGTGCAGTGGTGTGATCATAGCTCACTACAGCCTTGACCTCCTAGGCTCAGGAAACCCTTCTGCCTCTCAGCCTTCCAAATAGCTGTCACTATGGGTGTGCGCCACCCGGCCTGGCAAATAATTTTTTAATTTTTTTGTAGAGACAGGTTCTTGCTATGTTGCCCAGACTGGTCTGGAATTCCTGGGCTCAAGTCACCCTCTTGCCTTAGCCTCTTAAAATGCTAAGATTATAGGCATGAGTCACTGTACCTGACCTTGATGAAGTTTTTTTTTTTTTTATTAAATTATAGCTGTGTACATTAATGCAGTTATGGGGTACAGTGTGCTGGTTCTATATACTATCTGAAATATTTTCATCAAACTGATTAACACAGCCTTCATGTAATTTTCTTATTGTGTTAAGACATTTATATTCTACATTTAGAAAGATTCACATGTACCCTTGTAAGGTGAACTATAGGCGTGGTCTCACCAATCACCCTCCCTCCACTTATCCACCCCCCCCCTCCCCACACCTCCCTCTCCCCTTTCCCCATATTCTTGGGCTAAAATTAGGTTATAGCTTTCATATAGCATTCATATAGCTATAAATTAGTTTCACAGTAGGGCTGAGTATATTGGATAAATTTTCTTCCTATCTTGAGGAGAAATGCTAAGAAGAATATGTTCCAGCTCCATACATATAAACATGAAGGAGGTAAAGTCTCCACCCTTTTTTAGGGCTGCAAAATTTTCCATGGTGTACATATACCACAATTTATTGATCCTTTCGTGGGTCAATGGGTACTTGGGCTTCTTCCATGACCTAGCAATTATGAATTGGGCTGCAATAGACATTCTGATACAAGTATCTTTGTTGTAATGTGATTTTTGGTCTTCTGGATATATACCTAGTAGAGGAATTGTAAGATCAAATGACAGGTCTATTTTTAGTTCTCTGAGTGTTCTCCAAACATCTTTCCAAAAGGAACGTATTAGTTTGCATTCCCACCAGTAGTGTAGAAGTGTTCCCTTTTCTCCACATCCACGCCAACATCGCTGGTTTGGGGATTTTGTGACGTGGGCTAATCTTACTAGAGTTAGATATTATCTCAAAGTGGTTTTGATTTGCATTTCTCTGATGATTAAGGATGATGAGCATTTTTTCATATGTCTGTAGGCCACGCGCCTGTCTTCATCAGAGAAGTTTCTCTTCAAGTCCCTTGCCCACCCTGAGATGGGATCACTTGCTCTCTTCTTGCTAATATGTTTGAATTCTCTGTGGATTCTGGTTATTAAACCTCTGTTGGAGATATAACCTGCAAATATCTTCTCCCATTCTGAGGGCTGTCTGCTTGCTTTACTTGATGAAGTTTTTGAGCATTGTCCTCTAAACTCCCCTGTCCCATAAGCCCCACAGGTGTTTCCATGATTGTGCATGCTGAAATCATTTTTAGGAACGCGTATGTCATGTCAGAAGTGACTGTATTTCCCTTTTATGAGCATTCTACTCCAACCCGGTAGACTTACCTTTTCTTTACTTTCTCAACCTATGTACCCTACCAAGAATTCCTTCCTCTTATTTCCAACAACCCAAATCCTACTAATTTTAATAAGTTCAATTCAGTTGTCTCCCCTGGGAAGCCAGCTTTAAGCGTTAGCCTGAGGCTTTCCCTAGACTCACTTGGCACGGCGTTTACAAGTGTGCCTTACACCAGTGTTGAACTCTAGTGAGAAACTGGCTAACTGGGTAGGAAGGTAAGCCTGTTTCTCCACTTCACTGCGAGTTCTTTGGAAACCGGAACTTCAGTGTTATGTGCCTCTGCATGTTCTGTAGCCCCTCAGCAGGGCTCCCATTACGTCAACTGGAATAAAATCAGGATCAGTGAGTAATTATGTATCTTACATCTTCTGCCATTCTCCAACAACTTATTTTCCAAATGCGTCTATATGGATTCCCTTCTACAGGCTCTAATTCTGTTCCTATAAAATGATAAAAGAGAGAAAATTTATAGTTTAAAATAAATTAGTATTTCAATTATTTATAAAGAGATCTATCGTTCACAAAGACTGGAATTTAGAGCTAAGTGCCTGCATCTCCAACAGCCAGATTAGAATCTACAATGTACCTCCGTTCACATTGGGGTCATGGTACAACTTCCAGCCCTCCAGCGTTGCAGCTCTCCAGGCTTGACCACAGCGTTTACAGAGCCGCTGTGCCTTGGGGACAAAGATGACAGTTAGTCAAATGGCCAGCATAGTGCTGAAAGTTCCTGCGCCTTCTGGTAAACTAATATCTGACAAAACTGGACAACACATGGGACCACTGTTACGAAGGGTGATGGAGCGATCAGTGCTGGCCTTCCACTGCACCAACACGTGCGTGTCTTTCTGCAGCCTCCATCTTCATCCCTAATAACTCCTTTCTTCTTTGATTTTAGGTTTAATAATAGGTTCCCGCGGTACCCACTGACATTTAATTCTGCTAGAAATGGATGGGGTTAAAAGAGGCTGATGTTAAAGTACACGAAAGTATCACAAAAACACTGACTCTATAATGACAAGGGTGCTACTACTTATTTAGAATTTGGTAATTCCTTGTGTTCAGTATAAACAGTAAGATGTGTTAACACGTCAGTAAGGTAGATGCTTGTCTGTGGTTCTAACACCTGTAGGAAACTATCTCTTCCCCATTCTTATTTTATATGGTTCGGATAAGCCCGATCCCACTGCACAACTCCAGGGTTAGATACGTGATCTAACAAGATTCACCACCGAGACTCTTGCCAGAGATACTGAGAAGGAGAATACATCCCTTCTGCTGGGATTGCTGGCTGGCAGGAGAATGTAAGCCTGAAGCTTCTGTCGGCCATCTCTGGGATAACATGGGGTGGCTTCCTGGGACTGAAGCTACAGAAAAGCAGGCAGAGCTGCGAGCCTTGGAAAGAGACAGCACCCTGGTGACATCCTCAGAGTCTGTGGACCCTGCTCAAAGCGACACATAGCCCGCTAGACATCCTAGCTGCACCACCCAACCAACTCTCCCTTGTAAGCACACATAGACCGAAGTTAGGTTTCTGTCACCTGAACCTAGACAGCCTGATTAATACAACTAAAGAATGTAATATCTCAAGTGTCATTGAGTTATGACCTTTAAAGCTTATGACAGCTCAGTAGCAATTAACATGGAAAAATGTTTTCATGTGCTATCAGAAAAAAAAAAAGGATAAAAACTGAATATAAAACCTTGAAAACATTATGCTGAATGAAATAAGCCACATACAGGAGCACAAATATTGTATTATTCTACTAAACGCAATATGTAGTATGATTCCACCTATATGTCATAGAAAGAGTAAGTACATTAGAAGTCACCAGGGGCAGAGTGAGGGGGGATGAGAAGTTAGTTCACACTGGTAACAGAGTCTTTGTTTACGATGATGAACAAGTTTTGGAAACTGATGATGATGGTTTTCCAGTAAGATTAATGTAATTGATGCCATCAATTGATGCCTAAAATGGCAAATTTTCTTACATATATTTATTACATAATCAAAATAATGTCTTCTACCAAAACCATTAAATTGTATCACTTAAAAGGGTAAATTGTATGATATACAAATTTTCTCTCAATAAAGCTGTTAAGGCTCAGTGCCCATAGCTCAGTAGTTAGGGGACCGGACACACACACCGAGGCAGGCAGGTTTGAACCCAGCCTGGGTCTGCTAACAACAATGACAACTACAACAACAACAACAACATAAACCTGGGTGTTAGGGTGGGCACCTGTAATCCCAGCTACTGGGAGGCTAAGGCAGGAGAATTGCTTAAGTCTAAGAGTTTGAGGTTGCTGTGAGCTGTGATGCCATGGCACTCTACCGAGGGGTGATATAATAATTCTGTCTCAAAAGTAAAATAAAAGTTGTTAAAAAAAGAGAGAAAAAATCTTGAATGTATGCTATGATTATGATTATGTTAAAAAATATATATACACACACAAAAGAGAAAAGTCATATATCTATGACTATATAAAGCTAGTGAGACCTGGAGTTTCCATTTTTCAATGTTCAGTAATATGATTTTATTATCTGTTTTTAAAAATAAGACCCTCTGGCTCGGCACCCATGGCAAGTGGTTATAGCCCCAGCCACAAACACCGAAGTTGGCTGGTTCCAATCCAGCCTGGACCAGCTAACCAGCAATGACAACTGCAACGAAAAAATAGCTGGGTGTTGTGGCGGGTGCCTGTAGTCCCAGCTACTTGGGAGGCTGAGGTAAGAGAATTGCTTGAGCCCAACAGTTTGAGGGTGCTGTGAGCTGTGATGCCACAGCACCCTACCAAGGGCGACAGAGTGAGCTCTGTCTCAAAAAAAAAAAAAGTTTCTAAAATAAGACCCTCTCATGGTGTTGCAATTACTAGTATCTTACACACTAGCCAGAAATATTTACTTGGGACTTACTTTCTGAATAAATGAATATGTAGTATCAACTTCTTTGGGTTTTTTTGGTTTTTGGCGGGGGCTGGGTTTCAATCTGCTACCTCCGGTATATGGGGCCAGTGCCCTACTCCATTGAGCCACGGGCACCCCCCTCAACTTCTTTGTTTTCTAATGTCAGATTAATGTAAGGACACAATTAGGTAAGATTGTTTGCAATGTTAGATAAAGTCCAAGTTGTAGGTGAGCCCTTCGCCCAGGAAGCAGGCTGCGTACCCCTGCCCAATTCCTGTCAGTGGGCTAAATGCCCGTTAGGTGAGAGCACACCGATCCTCACTCTCTCCCCCGACTTGAATTTATGTTTTTCTCAGATGTGGGCATGTATTATCTTCTTAATAAAAAATAAAATGAGGCTTAATAACTCAAGACTGACTGCTATAAGAAATTACTTAATATACACTGATGATGGTTAATGCTGAAGAACAAACAAGCCCTTTGAACTACAACTCCTCTACCTGAAGAACGCTGCCTTCCGCCATAGCACAGGGGCAGCCCAACACCCGCAGACTGAAACGCCTATGCCCCGGACCATCTCATCTAAAAGACCAACAGAGCCATCAGTAAACTAGTGGGATACTTAACATTCTACATCCAAGATCTTAACTATCACACACATTTTGTTTTTTTAGAGACAGAGTCTCACTTTCTTGTCTAGGCTGAGATGCAGTGGTGCAATCATAGCTCACAGAAGCCTCCAACTCCTGGGCTCAAGCAATCCTCCTCCATCAGTCTCCTGAGTAGCTAGGACCACAGGTATACATGCTGGAAGAGACAAGGTCTCACTATGTTGCCCAGGCTGATCTCAAACTCCTGATCTCAAAGTGATCCTCTCATCCCAGCCTCTCAAAGTGCTGAGGTTACAGGCATCACGGACCACCATGTCTAGCCTCACACACATAGGAAAGAGGTGAGATTAAAAGGAGGAAGTCTCAGGGCTATCATAGTCTTCAAGTACCTAAATAGTGTCACTTAAAATCAGCATTAGATTTACTCTGTACTCTTAAAAATTAGAATTAGAAATAGTGAGGGTACACTTAAAGCACAAGCACAGTACAGGAAGGTAACGTTTGACTTTGCTGTCACCCTGGGTAGAGTGCTATGGCATCACAGCTCAAAGCAACCTCCAATTTCTAGGCTTAAGCGATTCTCTTGCCTCAGCCTCCCAGGGTAGCTGGGCCTACAGGCATCTGCCACAATGCCCGGCTATTTTTTGGTTGCAGCCGTCATTGCTATTTGGTGGGCCCATTGGATTCGAACCTGCCAGCTCAGGTGTACGTGGCTGGCTCCTTAGAGGCTTGAGCCACAGGCGCTGAGCCACGTTTGACTTCTTATAAGAATTTTTCTAATAATTAAAATTGTATAAGTTAGAGTACACTGCTTTCCAAAGCAATGAGCTCCTTATCACTGGAAATGTTCAAACAGGAAGTCAGATCTAGAAATACAGAAAATGGAATTACTGCATTGGGGAAGTGTCCTAGGAGAGCCACAAAATCTTTTCCAACTCAGAGTCTTTGACTTTTGAAAGTGGATATAAGCAGGGTACACGTGATTACCTCATCTGTCATTCCAGCACGGATTAGGGTAAAAAGATATTTAAGTAATCGAATTTCATCTTCTCTATCCAGATCATCAAGGGGCATCTTCTGTCTGATGGGAGCATCAGGGTCCTGTAAGAATAAAAAAACAAAAACAACCCCCACAAAAGAATCATAAATCCTTTGTACTTTGTGCCTACATACATTTTAAACATCACTGAAACAATGATAAACCTGTCCTGAGTTTATATACTGAAATAAATCCACTTACAATTCAGTTATATAACAAAGTGTCACAAGTGTCCAAATAGCCACGCAATTGTCTGCTTCCCCCTTAAAACAGACCCCTAGGCATGCCCCACACAGGGCATTCCTAGGCAGGCAACCCAGCAACACTGCAGCCTACACCAGCCCAGGAAACACCGGAAGCTGCATGAGCTTCCTCGACTGCAGCTGAATGGCCAAGGTGAGTCCAAACAGGGCTGGAGCTAGATGGACAGGAGCACAAGGGAACTGAAGAAATCTACTCTGTAACCAGGAGGTGCTCAGCTAGCACTTTGTGAGGACACAGTGAAGGGAGCCTATTAAGATCAAGTTTGGGATCAACCAACTTATGCCAAGGGTTGAAATTTTGGAATTTGCGACATGATTTTTATTTATTTATTTATTTTTTTGAGACGGAGCCTCAAGCTATCCCCCTGGGTAGAGTGCCGTGGCATCACGCTCACAGCAACCTCCAACACCTGGGCTCAAGCGAGTCTCCTGCCTC